TCTTTGGTCATTGTATTGCTAAATATCATGGGTTTTTTTCGTGTCAGGAGAAACTTGAGAAACTGCAAATTGCTACTGGTGTGAGAGAATTGGCCATCTGCAAGGACGTTGCCCCGGGGACACCTGGATGTTTTGATGTTTTACCATCCTTGTGGGAGGCTTCTCTCATGTCCCAGCATGGGGAACTGGAGCTGACATAGGGAGCTCAACCTGCTCTCCTTGTCGGTCAGCAATCCTGCCACCACAAGGGTTTAACCCATTGTGCCATCAGAAGCTCCTAATATTATGTATGAGTTCCCCATGTTCTATTTTTCTGGTTACATGATTAATGATTTGGGGCCTGGTTATCTTTTGTTTCTCTTCTATACATGCAGAGAATAAGGGATGAAAGTATCATTTCCAGAAAAGAACTGGTGAGACTTGGAGTGCTTCATTGTTCTTGGAATATACCATCCAGCGAGTTATAGAAGAAAACTGGCTTATAAATAGCAAGTTGTCCTTTCAGTCTTTGGCTTTGTAACTGTTAGATGGATATCAAAGTTACCAAATGTGAGCCTGTTGGTTGACTTCAACATTAAGCTGGAGAAAGGCTAATGGTTGGCGAACATTATATATTAGTCAATAGCCAAAATCAGGGAAGGGTGGCTCCAGCCCTAAGCAGTCTCAGAATGAGATCCATACCTGAAGCTATGTCCCCTCACAAGGAAAAGTGAGCAGAAAAGAAATTGATGCAGAATACTGAGGTCAAGGCTTCATTGCTTTGGTGCTTGCTTAGCTCTGCTACATGGGAAAGGTGAGGGAGGTATAAAGTAGGCTGTACATTCAGCTGGCATTTTGTGGTTGAGGTTGCCTCACTCCTTCTCTGCCTTGTCCACACACTGATGTACTTAATATAGAGCAGCACTGTCAAAGTAAGACTGAGTTCATGAAAATCTAGGGCAGAGGTGTCAAACTTGTGCCCCCCCCCCCCAGACTCCGCTCCCAGAAACCCTAGCCAACTTGTTCAATAGCAAGGAATTCTAGGAGCTGAAGTCCAAAACACTTGGAGGTTCACAAGGTTGACACCAATGGTCTAGGGCAGTGGTTCTCAACCTGTGGGCCCCCAGGTGTTTTGGCCTACAACTCCCAGAAATCCCAGCCAGTTTACCAGCTGTTAGGATTTCTGGGAGTTGAAGGCCAAAACATCTGGGGACACAAAGGTTGAGAACCAACTCTAGGGCATCACACTAATGTCTTACCTTGAGTCCTTGGTACCAGCTGAGGTTTGGTTCCAGGACCACCATGCCTCTCAAAAATCCATTGATGCTCAAGTCCTATTGTGTACAATGGCACAGTAAAGTAGCAAAATGAAGGCTTGCTTTTGGGGTTATTAAAAAATGTTTTCAGGCTGTGGATGACTGAATCCACGGATGCAGAAGGTAGAGAAAGAAGCTCCTTCAAAATGGATAGCCCCATATGCAATCAAGCCTCTAGTCAAGGGCAAAGTAGAGTTCGTGCCTCAAGAGTGTATGTAACAATACCCTTTAGTTGTATTCATGTCCATGCATTCCCCATCATGGACGTGACAAGAGAAGGGATGTGTTCCTACTGTCCATCTCTCTGCATGCTCCACAGGTTGGTTTTGCACATTTGTAACACAGAACTTGTTATATCTATGGAGGCTTCCTGTGTGATTTTTTCACTTGATGATCAAAGTTGTAATTCATGTACAGAGCAGCCTGGCTGTTGCAGAAGTACATCTGTGGCACACTGAGGACAGACAGAGCCAAACTGTTCCTTGGGGGAGACACTGCAAGCATATTTTCACCCTCTTCCTCATGTAGTAGCAGAGGGTTCATGTGGCTTGAACACCCAAAGTTTGAAAATATTAATTTTGAGCAGGGGGACTACAGCTGTCACTAGTCTCCCAGTTGGGGGTTCTGGGATATAAAGTCCACAATGGTCATTTTTCCAAGCTCTGTGCTAAAGCCTGCTAACAAACAAATTGACCACTCTAGAAAGGTCAGACAAAGCATCCTACTTCACCTGGCTTTGCCGAGAAAAGAGAGGGGCAACGCAGCTTGTTCTTGACAATGCTTTCCTCATCTCATGGGGAAAGTGTTGCTCTCCCAGCTAAGCCCCATGCTGGCTCCATTAAACCCAGCACAACACGGGAAGCCAACACAGTTGTGGGTGGAGCTTTTGTCAGAAGTCACACAACTGGCCGACATGGAACTCTGTCCATTAGCTGAGATGAAAGCATCCTAGGATACTAAAATCTCCCCCACCTGATGTGGTCCTAGATCTGCCCTACTTGTAAGTCAACAACATGGGCTTAGAGAAGATTTACTCAGACATAAGTTGCACTCTGTTTTGGGGAACCCAATAAGTATATTTAGAAATGCTACCTCAAAGTTCTCATCTTGTTCCAACCTTTCCTGCAAACGTTTATTACAGGCATATCACTGTTAATGAAGTTGATGTGTCCCTGGGCATGACTACTGTAACAGAAATTTAGTACCAGAGGTAGAAATGATATACAAATAATAGGTTTAGGGTCTTATAACACTTAAAAAGAGAGCATATTGAACACATTTCAGCAAATGTTTCATTCAGAACTAAAGGTATGAGTATGTGAAATGAGAAAGCAGGTCAGGTAAGCATTGGATGAGCAAGAAAAAACACTTGAGATCTTCCAGATGCTACTTCTAGACTTCTTCCAGAATGCATCTAGGAACTGTTTGTTTTTTTATTTTTTTTACTTTCAGCAGCCTTAATTTTTCTAATAATTTTAATTTTGGTGGCCAAATGTAGAATTCTATGCAATTTTAACATGCTTGAGTTAGCTAGTGAGGCTTATTTACTCACTCATTGTCTCTGTTTTGTAGTTCACACATGATCAGCAAGGGATTCTGAAGGCAGCTGCTATTTATCTTCTTATTATAAGGAGACACACATGGCTAGAGTTAGGTCAGCTAAAATTGATTCCTGTTCTTTTCTTGCTCAAGCTTTATTGCATTACAGATATGCTTCTGTAGCCCAACACCGAAAACTTGTGTTTTTCTAGCACTTCATTCCATGTTGATGCAATTGAAAAGCTTCTAGCTAGACAGAGTACAAAAGAAGAAATAGGGCTGGACAGGCATGAAGAGATTTTTTTATATATATAAAAAGGCTTCCTTCTCAGGGCGGTTCCAGGCAGCAGTAAAGTCCACACCAACCCGGGTTTAAAAACCCCGGGTCAGGGCGAACTGTAGTCTGCACACCAGCCTGGAAAATGTGCACTTTTGGGGCTGGGTGTCTAGATGCCCTCTCGGAACCTTCCGGAAGGACAGCGAAACTCTCAGACCCCCTACAAACCACCTCCAAAACCCTTTAGAAACAGAAAGAACTTACCCGGTTGGCATTAGCATGGTGCCAGAGCTCTCCTGCCATATAGGATTAACCCAAGAGAAGGGGGGCCAAGAGTGATTCCCCCCCCCTTCTCCTGGCCTGTCATTCCTATGTGATAGGAGAGCTCCAGCACCACACTTATGGTGACCGGGTAAGCACTTTTATTTTTTTAAGGGTTTCCTGAGGAGGGTGGGGGATGGGAGGGGGTGGAGGCTGTCTTGGGTTTCTTGGTCTCCAGGAGGCCAAGAAACCCAAGACAGATGTGTAGATAGGCACTGGAAGTCATGTTGCGTGATCCCCAGTCCCATCTACACAGCCCCTGCACCTGGAAATACTCGGGTCTTACCAACAGACAAATTACCTCGACACCAAGCAGGGTTTTCTGCTTTGTGCTGAATGCAGTCGTTTTTCCCTGAAGCGTTATTTGAAATCCCAGGGGAAAACATGGGAGGGCGTACACTAAAGGTGCTGTCTGGGTGCAGCCTCAGCAGCTTTGTTAACCAAGATCTGCCTGTACAATCATATCCAGAGCCCAGGGAACAAAAATATGCTGCAAATTCCCTCTAATAAAGCCATATCTCTCTAGTGTTTGTTATTGGCCACACTACAATTGATGCAATTACATTCAGGGCAACTCTATACAGCCCAGAAAATGTGTACTCATCTTAAACTTCTGTTCTCACAAAGTTTGCTGACTTCCTGTGAGTATCAGGATTGTTTCGGGGTTAAACCAGTTCTGATCAACTTTGAGCGAAGTCAGAAGATCCTCCAGAATCTGAGGGAAACTTCAGGGTTTCCTGCAGCTTCTGGGCAGTTTGGACAATGGGAGTAGGTCTGATTTCAAGCAATGTGTTGTCCAGATGGGTCATAGGCGCCATCATGGAGCTCAATAGGGGCTCAATGGGGCTGATTCAGTCTTGGCCTGGCTGGTCTGTAGATGCCAACACTTTGCTTTAGCTGGTTCATCCAGATGCATCTGGCTGTCTCCAGAACCAATTTTAATGGCCAGTATGAGCCTGAAATTGGAAAACATAGCAACTCCCGTCCTCTCTTCCTCCCCTTTCCAAATGGCTGATTCATTGCGGAGGAAGGAAAACACACACCCCACCACTATACTTCAGACTAGGTCCTTGTTTCCTTTGACCCAACAGCTATTTTAAAGGATTAAAAATCACAGTGCCAAAATACATAGTTAATGTATGTGTGCATCTGGTCCTCCGTTCCTCTTTCCACCTGCCATTTGCTCACTAAATAAAATAATAATCCTTTTCATGCCAATCCTTTTACCTTAGTATTATAAAAATTGCAGCACAAGCTGGAAGATAAATGTATTACATCAGTGAATGTATTGCACATTATCCTTATGCAGAGAGCAAGTAAAATGGTGCACAAGAAGCCTACAAAAGTAGAAGAAAATCTTCTTGATTCTTCTTTATGTCAGATGAATTATTTCAATGAGAGTGCTGATAAGACAAAATTACTCAGGACTGATGGGAAGAGAAAGTTCCCACAAATATTCCATCTATTCAGAACCAGAATGTAGAGCAGCTGAATTTAAACTAATTGGAAAAAATATCCCCTATGCCTCTTATCTGAATAGTTATACAACAGAAAAACCTAT